TGTGGGATCAGGAGAGTCCATAGGCTTGTAGGCAGACAGTTATGATTTTAAAGAAATAGTGAAGGAACACTCAAAGGAACTGTCTACAGAACTTCAGCAACTTCTGGCTGAGCAACACAGAATGGCAGCTGAGAAGCTTTCTGAAGAGGAGAGGGAGTATCAACAATCAGTGCAGCAGAGTTTTATTTTTTTTCCTGAAATAAAGGAAATTCTGCAAAACTGTACAGAGCTACAAACATTTGTAGAGAAGACCCACCTAGAGAAAAAGCCAATTGTTGTGTTCACTTGTTTGACAATGTCATGTTAGACTACAGAACAGTGTTAAAGACAAAAACAGACAACCTTAAACCAGTTTTTAGTTCTGAAAAAGCTGACACCTACTGAGCCAGAAGCAGATCCTAGTAAGCTACAGGCTCTCCCAAGGAGAGGAAAGGATACGAGAGCCAGATTCCTGGTGTTTTTATAGGAGACTCTCCTTCCAAACAATAACTACCTTTCATTTCATGCTCCCTGAAAGCCAAAGATGTCAATTTGCATGGTGAGTACAATATGAAATTGCAAACTGGGCCCATTTTATAACTTTTTGGTAACTACACTAGGAAAATCATTGGTGTTTCTCATAAATTAAACACATTATACAATCGTTTTTATTACAAAAAAATAAGTTAAGGGGTGCTTTAGGAGGTTTGGAATGCATTATGGGTATTTCTATTATTTATGGGAAAAATAGTATCGACTTACAACCAACTCAAGTTACAATCAGCCTTCGAGAATAAATTGAGTTAATAAATCCAAGGGTCCTGTATTATATTGTTTGATTATAGCATGTTTTACTTATCCATTCATCAGTTAATAGTTTGCTTCCACTTTGGGGATATTATAAATAATATTTCTATGAACATTTGTGAACAGTGGTTGTGTGGATGTTTTCATTTCTCTTAAATATACACCTAGGAGTAGAATTGTTGTTACATGGTAAATCTATGTTTAATTTTGTTTTTAAAAATTATACAACTGTTCTCTAAAGCAGCTATTCCTTACCAGCAAGTTATAAGGTTCAAATTTCTGTACCTTACTCTCAACATTTATTAACTTTTGTTTATTTTTTTTTTTTACTATAGCTATCCTACTGGATATAAAGTGGTACTCATGGTTTTGATTTGCGTTTCTCTATTGGCTACTAATTAATGTTGAGCAATTTCTCATGTGCTTACTGTCCAATTGTATATTTTCTGTGTCTATTCAGATTCTTTGCCTAATTAAAAACCTGGACCATCTGTTCATTGATCTATTTTTCCTGCATTTTAACAGTGAGTAAAGTACAATGAATGTAATTATTATTAACCAACCATTGCATTTGCAGGTTCAATGAATACTAAAGATAATCTATAGGGCCTTAACATAAAGCCATATTGTAATTTTGCTGAAGGATTTTATTTTATATTTTGCTGATGCATGTGTTTAAATCATGTATTGTAGAAACAGTGTAAAGTGTGTTATTTAGCTAGTGAAACTAGCCCAAAAAAAGAAGCCTTCAAATTTCCAAATGACTTAAAGCATACTGGGAAATAATTATAGGCTAGAATGCAATCCTCATTTGAAATGTGTTCCTCTAGGGTCCAACATTAGCACAAAGGCTTATTAAAAACAAAAAAATACCTATTCAAAACCAAGAATAATTAAAAAGAATTAAACTACTTGAAATCTCTCAAAGAACATCAAATGCAACTGAGATCTAATTAAAATCCCATGGAAAAACTTAACCCCTCCTGCCTTCTTTTCCCTCTCCATCTTTCACAGGAGACCACATTTAAGGGCATTTTTGTGTGTCTTTTCTCCTTCTAGCCCATTTTCCATTAACCATTTGTTTCCATGTTTTAACAGAGAAGCTACACATTTGTAGTCCACAGGTCAAATTTGACCTATGCATGCAGAAAAACAGAAGAGACTGCCAAAAAAATAAAATAAAATAGGTATAACATCAATATCAAGGAAGTAACTGATAAGCAAATGCAGTATCAACTACTTACCATAAACAACATACATAACTCAAATGATGAACCCAGGGAAAACGTACTTTTTCCGGGTCTTGTCTCTTGTTGGGTGTGATATGAAAAAAAAAGTTTTACATATTCCAGTCTGTTTCTTTATTCTGTCCTTTAAATCTTTACTTGTATTTCACAAAAGCCTCAAATATTTTAGAGATACCAAACAAATTTTGTGGTGTTTTAATATTTGCTACAATTTTCTTTCTGAACACAAGAATTCTCCCAGCACCTTCAAAACACAGATTTCATTAAAACGTCAAATAAAAAAACAAGACCACAAAAATATAAAATGTTGTATTAACAATGTATGTACATACTTGGACTTTTAGATTACATTTTAGTGAAGGAGAGCAATGGGTACAGTTTGCAAAGCAAGACTGGTTCTCTTAATGTGATTATACACTCATTACTGCAAACTGATGTCTACTTCTTTTCAACAAAGTATTTTTAGAAAACAGATCTGCAAGAGATAGAGGGAGGGGAAAGAGATTTTTAAATTAAGGTGTGTTATGTACATGTATCAATTCCCTACAAGGAATGTGATTATTATGTAATACACACATGTACAAATAAAAGAAATATATTTTTTTAAAAAAGAATTGCCCTTTAATCTTAGATTGTGTCTTTCCTACTTTGGCAGGGGTTGGTACACAGACTTTGGGTAGCTCTTTAACTACTGGAGGGAAAGATTCTCTGGAGAGGGAAGTAAGTCACTCTGAAGTGAGCTTCCTACTACTGTAGGTGTCTGGTTCAGAGGATAGGGCAAAATCTGGACAAAAAATATCAGAGATCTTAACATAATTGTTTATAACAAGAAGGTAATTTTTATTATTACAACCTCTGCATTACACTAAAATAATCCCTGGATTTTCTTGGTATTTAAATAAAGAAAATCAATGGTTTATGACAATAACAAGTTTTGGTAGTGTTTTTGTCTTTAGGTTTTTATATGTTAGAGGTTCTCAAGCCCTACAGAAAGCTCCAAAGGCAAAGTTGCTACTCTACTTGGGGACCAACTGAAAAATCTTCAGAAAATACTCTAATATTATAAAGTTGACTAACTCTAAACTTCCCAGGAGTCTGGAAGAACCACAGTTATAATGAGACAATTTTGAAATAGTACAAGGCAGAGGAAGAATGCTGCATACATTCCTCCCACACACGTGTAACAGTTATATCAAGCAGAACCATGTGCCCTGTACACACGTGGTCTTTCATAACTCTGCAGTTAACGTGGTCATGAGGTACTCCTGAAAAGAAGGTAGCCACAGCATGTCAGCATGGTTAAAAGAACTTTCCCATCTGAAAATCTTGCTGCGGACAATATTTTAAGATAAAGGCCACCCATCACTATTGGCTAGCAATAAAATATTTTGTGTTGTAGTAAAAAAAGAAAAAGCAGATGTACTTAGTAACTACAAAATTTTTACTGGTAACACTATTATGTCAGATGGAATCCAGTCATTAAGATCACAAGAGGCTGGTATATTACACCTCTATGAAGCCATTAATATATAAGAAAATTGTATTTTATTATTTGCTTACTTGTGCTGCTACTCCAATATTAGTATTTGCATATATGAAACAAATAAAACAATACGTGTTTATATGCACAAGTACACTGACTCATAAGTTATATATAAAATGCTTTGCCTCCTGGTTTTCGGTAAACACTCAATAAATCTGGCTCTAATTTTTATAATTCTCACTCACATTCTCTCCCCTAAGATTCTTTACCGTGACTTGCTTCACAAGCACCCATAATTAGACCAATGGATGGTTCCTTCTTTCCGTGTTTAACATGTATTTTGCCAATCCTAGTAGTTGAACACCTAGGACTTCCCTGCATTGTTCAAATTAGCTTTTGAAAACTACAAGCCCCTCACCTCTATGGTAGCAAACACCACCCACAGCAAAGATGCTGATGGCCTATTTCTTCCTCCTCAGCACCAACCCCAGGCGCCACCAGCATTCATGTGGGGATCTTGAGGAAAGGGCAGTGCCTCCCTCCCCCAAGAGCACGATTTGTCCGCGGCAGGACAAAATTACTCTACTCACTTCATTGAGGCAGTCTCCCTCGTAGTGATCGAGAGCCGAGGTAAACCTCACCTGAAAGGTGAGCCTCGCTGAACAGAAACTCTCGGGGCTCCAACCTATACGTATAAGTGGGACAGTTGGTTGGCGGCCTGCCGGGGTCTGGGTTGCGTTGCGCATGCGTCACACCAGCCGCTCACTCCGGCTGGGGCCCGGATTCTTTCCCGCGCCTTTGCAGTTCTCCAGTTCGTCCCAGACTTCTGTTAGAATTTCCCGGCCGCGGCCAGATCCACCAATCACAAGCGAGTATTCTCACGCACTTCCTCCGGAAGCCCGCCCCTCCTGACGCACGCTGCGCGTGGACGTCACCCCGACGCCGCCGTTGTCCCGCCCTGCGCCTCAGGCCGCGGCGTTGCGACTGTG